CACAGATCAAGGATGTGGAGTAAAATCTCATTAACTGCCAATTCTCCGTTTTTGACATTGTGAAGTTGGTGGCTTGGCTTTTCTCCCTCTACTTAGTTGGCATGGTGTTGTCTCCTCTATGAAATCAGAGGCTGCCAGGTACAGGGAAGAGGGTCAAGCAAACAACTATCAAAAAGAGGGTCTAGCAACAATAAGCAGAGTCAGTAAGCCTTTGACAGGCATCAGAAGACCACTTCCCAATGTCAAGACTACAGGAAGAACTCGACTCTTGGTGAGATTTTTTTTATCAGATCTTTTTTAAATCTTGCCTTCCTGTGTGCATGAAGTGGTGGTCATTGACTCACCGTGTCAAAAACGGTCTTGAGGTTCAGCCTCAGTTCTTTTTCCTTTTGTTCTGAGCTATGGAACTGGGGATCAAGAGTCTTCTACTTGGTGCCAGAAAAGTAGATGCCCCAACTCCCCAAAAACAAAATTTAGAGCCAACAGAAATAGCACCCTGTAAGAGCCACACAAAGAAATCAGTTTGGAACCTGGAGAGGGAGATGGTCATACGATCAAGTGACAACCAGCGACCATTTTTTTCTTTCCTTTTTTTTTTTTAAAGGTCTGCCTAATTGAAATATGAATTCAGAATTGCTTGCTGCTCAGTAATGAAAGGTGTACAATCTGGAGTGGTGAAGACCCTTGTCGCTTTTACTACTGGACAAAGCTTTTAGAATACTGGGGGGGGGGAAGATGCCTACAGCTGAGAGTGGGTGGAGCTGATAACCCTACAAGAGTAACCAAATAGGATGTCAGAGGGTCTGATCTGTGAGGCAGAGTTTTTCTTAGATACTCCCAGAGTACTCTCTTGTATGGCTCCTCTCTATTTGCTCTCCCTTTATAATATTAGACTTTTTACTGAGAGGGGAAAATACTGTACAGTCCGTCCCATCCCGTCCCACCCAGACCTTTTCTTAGCTATTCCTGTCCCTTTCCCCTAGACATAAAAAGACCCTCAACCCCACCAATAGTCTTATCAGATCTAGTTCCCACCCTTCTGGTCAAACTACCAAGTTGCTTGTGTGTGGGTGACTGATTGAGGAATTTAATAAAACTCTGAGCCTTTTTGCACGAAAATGACATGTCCATTGGACACAGAGGGTTATTTCTGTGGCTGGCTTGGTTAGGCATTAACAACTCAAAACTGAAACCACCCAGTACTGGAAAGCAAAAGGACCTTTGGGGATCCAGGGAGTCAAAAACAACCGCTACTTCTCGGGGGGGGGGGGGGCTCTAACGTACTCCCCACTTGGGACTCTGCCCGTGTCCTCTTTTCAGCTCGGGGGCTCCTGTTTTGCGTGCCACGCGGCTGTGTTGAGAGAGGGCAACCAGGCCTCTCACTTTCCGTGAACTGCAACTTGGGATAACCACAGCCCCACAAGGGCAAAGAAGCATTTCCATCCTTGGATTCAGAATGGTATCGTGTTCGAGTCCCAATTCTAAGGAAAGAGGCCCAAGTATGTCCAGGGGGAGCCTGGAAAGCTTGAGTCCCCCCTCCCAACCCACTCCCGCTAAAACAATGGAAGGCTCTGCCCCCTTTTTCGACTTTTCATGTAACATACTTAAGCGGTATCCGAAAACTGAGACCGCAGCCAGGGACAGACGGGCTGCTTCCTTATCGTAGCTAAAGAAAACCATCCTCGGGAAATGGGGCTAGCCAGGCCCGCTATGAGGTACTGCTGCTCTCTGTCCGCTCCTCTCGTTAGCAGCAAGGCAGAGCATGGTATCCTGAGCGCCCCCCCCCTCGCCCTTGTCCTGCCCCCGAGTTCAGGGTTGGAGGGAGGAGGTGGCTCCGAAGCGGGAAAGGGGGAAAGGGAACGTGCTCAGGGCAGTGGTGTTTGGGCTGGGGAGGGTTGAATCCAAGCCCCTCGGCGAGGAATCTTTTCACTGCGACCCCAAACCCTTTACTGCCATCACAGCTGGGTAGAGCGGTCTCCTCCACCCCGTCCTCCCAGGACTGTTCCACATGGATGGGAGTCTGGCAATATAAATAGTTCTTTCTTTCTTTTAAAAAAAGTTATTATTATTATTATTATTCTTTTCTTTAATAACAAAGAGGATCTGGAAGAACAGAGAAGTGTCCCCATTCCCAGCCCTGTTCAGTTAATTAATGCTTCTCTCTCTCTTTCTCTCTCTCTAAAACTGATAATAAATACCCCTTCCCCAACCAACCCAAACTGCCTGAGACCCACATTTCTCCTGTTCATTTGATGCTGGAGAAAAAAAAAAATTAGAAGTATGAGTGATACTGACACCCACCCCAACCCCAGTTTCCCCCCCCCCCTCAGATGGCAAAGCACTTAGCTTGTGGCTTTAAAGGAACCAAATCGATACTGACCCCCACCCCAACCCCAGTTTCCCCCCCCCTCAGATGGCAAAGCACTTAGCTTGTGGCTTTAAAGGAACCAAATCCTTCTTTGCAAATATATATTATCATTATCCCTAATATTCACCATCGGATGCTAGCTGCCCCCTCTCCCTGAGAATGGGAGGAGTGTTAAAAGGACAAATGAGAACAAGAAAATAAAATAGGAGTTGGAGGGAAATAAACAACTCTGCTACCCCCCCCCCCATACAAGTAGTAGATTGGGAAAGGAGTGGGGGGGGGGAACGGTTGCCCTTATGGTTAGCACATCCATCTTCTCCACGGTAAAGCAATTTGCCGTCTGCCACCCTGTAAACACGTGCGTCCCAGCAGACGGTCCCTCTGCCCCCCTCCGCCCCTCCCATGGGCACAAGGCTTTCTTCATGTGGTCCAAGAATTGTTTTTTCCTCCCACTCTTGTGCGTGTTCTGGGGTGGCGTTGGGATGTCTCTTTTGCCGCGTGCCATCCTAGCATTTGTTCTTGCCTCACATAGTGGGGTCCACTATCAAGTCAGGGTTGTTGTTTTTTTTAATTAAAAAGACCAAAATCCTGCTGTCGTCTGTTGGTTAAGTGGAGGCCTCTGGGACAGCGGGGGCTGGAGCTTGCTCTCCCGGTGGCCTGGAAGCATCGCTGTGGTCTGCAGAAGGAGAAACGGCCTCTCCAAGTTCCCTAACGCCTTTCGCAGGCAAGCCCTCTGCCTCAGGAAGCGACTCTTCAGAATCTGTGTTCAGATCCTCCTCTTCATCATCATCTTCATCATCGTCGTCGTCGTCATCTTCCTCCTCCTCCTCTTCCTCCTCATTCATTTCCTCCTCTTCATCTTCCTCGTCACGGGAAGAATCATCTTCCTCCTCCACGTTGCCACAGCTAGGTGGTACCTGATCGTGCTCTTGGGGGGCCGTGCCCTCTCCAGAGGGGGAAGAAGTACTGCTTGCTACCTCTGGCAGTTTCTGACTGAGGTCCAGGGAGTCATTGAGGCCCACGCCAGCGGCATTCTGCAGGAAGAAGAGGGAGGTGTTTGTGTCGGTGCTGAGGTTGAGAGAGCTGTCCAGGTTGACGGAAGAGTTCTGCGTGCTGTACTCCAGTGTGGAGTGGGGGAGGCCCTCAGGGCCTGGAGAGATGGCCGGCAGCTCTCCTCGCTCCTGCTTCTCGTGTTTGCGCTTGTGCGAGTCCATCTGCGACATGCCCACCACCGTGTGCTTGCAACCTGGGTAGGTACAGTGGAAGTGGGAACACTTGAGTTTGTACTTGCAGTCGGACACCTCGCAGTCCACGCTGGAACTGAACTGGCAGAAGCCGGCGGCGCTGATCACATCCTGCTTGCCGTGGTGCTTGCGGTGGGCCGTCACCTTGGTGCTGTCGGTGCAGCGGAAGCCGCAGCGCAGGCAGTGGAAGTGCGTGCTGTTGCCTGAGAACTGACAGTCGGGGAAGTTGCAGCTGAGCGAGGACTTGAAGCGCTTGAAGTCATCCAGCACCAGGTTATCGACGCGGTCGTGGTGCTGAGCGTGCTTGTACATGTGGGTGCGGCCACAGAACTTGTAGCCGCAGTTCTCCCGGGTGCAGTGGTAGTGGGTGACCTTCAGGGAAAACTGGCAGCTGGAGTCTTTGCAGTCCTCATAGAGGTCATAACGCCGGAAGCCCTCCAGCATCATCCCTTCGTCCAGCATCTTGCGGGAGGATGCGGTTTTGCGTCGCTTGCCAAACGGCGACATGTCCTCAATGATCCAGAAGCGCTTCTTGGCCCCTGCTGCAGTTGGCATGGTGATGGTGTTCCCTGCAGAAATGAAGGCAGAGAAAGGAATTCAGGACTGGGCTGGATCGGGACCATTTCTCTTTCCTGCCTGGCTACGTGCAGAGAAGTGGTTTTCTCCTGACATTCCTTGATCTCTGCACTGGGGGGGGGGGTGCTGTGGGAATGAGACTCTCTCTCTCTGAAGGGGCTTAAAGTACAACGCACCTCAGCCAAGCTGTAGAAATCAGATTTCATCCAAGGAGTACTGCAATGGATCCCTTTAGACAAACCGACCCAATTTCATTTCAAAGTCAAGGCATCCCTGAAGAGAAATGCTTACTTGAAGCCATGCTGCTGTGCCAGTCAGGAATTTCAACCATTCAGCTCAGGCTCAGCAGGGCAGCTCTGTGGATTCTACCCCTCTGCCTTCGCCCGATTCTGCAAGATGTGACTGGCACCAGAGATGAAGGGAGGGCTTTTTTTTGCTACTCTTTGCTAGCTGTATATTCCCCCCCACCCACCCAGTGGTCCATTCATTTCTAGAGGGCCTTCGTGATGTCATGCTGCCATGCCTAAATATTTGCCCTCTAGTTAGAACAAAAGAAGCAGGAGTCTACAACAGACCACGTCAATGAACAGCTGGCTCCACCGGGGAAGCTGACAGCCTGGCCATAGAATAAGGTCTCGTTTTCTAAATGTTTGTTCGGAACACCTGCACTTTGCGGCCGCCTCCACGGCCACCTTGTCTGTCTGATAAAAGGCAATGTTTTACTTTACTTTACTTGTCTTCTCAGACCCTGCCCCCATTTCCTGGTCAGTGCTTTACAGCCAAATTTGGGAGAAGGATCCTTACACTTTTTTTAAAAAAGGCCTGGCATATTAGGATTACAGCTGAATCCAAGAAGGACCCTCAGCGGTTCCCTTCTGCCTGACAAGCAAGGGGGGGGGGGCACAGCATGGATTAGCAATTGGTGGACACAGATATGCGAAGGGGTTCATTCGCTCTGCAAGGAAAACCCCAGACAGATATTTCTGGATTCTGTGGGCCCATTTGCAAGAAGGGCTGTGTCCACACAGTACTTTGAAGACAGGGTGATAACACATCCACGGTTCCTCTGATTTATACACACCCAGAACTTCATCCTGCATTAATCCCACCTCTACCCCAGTCCAAGCAATGGCGATGGCAAGACCATCATGGGGCATACTGTCTTCCAGGCAGAAGCGGCACCTGAGGGCCCTCCCCCACAAAGAACCCCACTGATCCAAGAAGAAGAAGAAAAAGAAGAAGAGATTGGATTTATACCCCGCCCTTCACTACCCAAAGGTGTCTCAGAGCGGCTTACAAACTCCTTTCCCTTCCCCTCCCCACAACAGACACCCTGTGAGGTAGGTGGGGCTGAGAGAACTCTTCACAGAGACTGCTCTTTTTCAAGAACAGCTGTGCCAGAGCTAAGGCTTGCCCAAGGTCATCCGGCAGCTGCATGTGGAGGAGTGGGGAATCAAACCCAGGTCTCCCAGATTAGAGTCCGCGCCTTAACCACGACACCAAACTGGCTCTCCAAGTGGACAACACATTCATCCGGGCACACGCTCAAACAAAGAAGTACTCCTTGAAAAGCTTTTTTTTCGTCTCACTCTGATGAACACACATGAAGTTGCCTTCTACTGAATCAGACCCCCCCCCCCTTGGTCCATCAAGGTCAGTCTTGTCTACTCAGACTGGCAGCCTCTCTCCAGGGTTTCAGGTTGAGGTCTTTCACAGCAGCTACTGCCTGGGCCTTTTAACTGGAGATGCTGGGCACTGATCCGGGTACCTTCTGCATGCCAAGCAGAGGCTCTACCTCTGAACCACAGCCCCTCCCTAGAGATGCATTCTCAATTTTAAAGGGCCAAATAAAAATTGTTTTATGCAGGCTGAAGACACCTTTGAGATTCCTAGGCGGATTTTATACTAGCTGGGGGGCTAGTGTTTTCAGGTTACATTTTAGAAAAACTGGTCATTTCGGTTAACTTTTCTGCCCTGTACCCACCATAAGCACAATAAACCACTTTAACTACAGTGTGGACTGGTGTGCTGGGGTGAATTCAGACAACTTGTTCGCCACTCTCTTATGTGCAAATAATCTCATTACATGGAACTACTTTTCTGGAAACTCATTTTCTGGCACAATCTAAACTGACATCTGTCTTCTGTGAAGATCCCCCCCTCCTCCTCTTAAAAGCAATCTAGCTTTCTGAGTACATGTCAGAAATACCACGGTAGGACGATGAAGGCAGGGCGATGGGGGGGGGGTGTTAACTGTGAGAGAAAGCGTAGAACAGTTTACCTGCCGCATCCTGAACTAGAGGGACATCACTTTTGACCGGAGCTGGAGTGGCCATGATGGGTGAGAACCCTGTCGCGCTGGTGGCAGGCATGACAATGCCCCTGCTGGATCCCAGGGTGGCACTTAGGAGGGAGTATGAGACGCAAGATGGAGAGAAGAGATAGGGGAGGGAAGGGAGGGGAGATCTGAGCAGGGCTTGTGAGAAAGATGGAGGCAGAGGTGGTGGTTGTGGTGCATTGTGGCTAACGTCATCGCCAGCAGGAGGAGGAGCAGCAGCCAGGCAGCCTGGAGAAATGTGGAAAGAAAAAATAGCAGGGGGGAAGAAAAGAACCAAAAACAAAACAAAAGGGGAACAGAAAAACAGAACCAAAATGAGAACCCAAGAGTGCAAGCGATACAATGAAAATGAAGAGCAACATTCACATGTACAGAACAGAACCATAACAGAGAAGGAGATGGAGGGTGCGTGATGAACAGCAGTGCCAGTGAAGAGAACGTTATCAGAGGAAATAAGGGAGGAGGAGGGGAGGCGCGGGGCCTCCTGTCTTGAGGGGGAGGCATATGGCTCTTGGAGGAGGGACCACTGTCCTTGCTGGTGGTCAAGCAAGGTCATCCTTGGAAGGTGCTGCCGGCTGGGCGGCTGCTTTAGCTGAGCCTACTAGGGGGTCAGTCTTAGTTGCTACCTTTTCCATCAACTCTCCCTGTCTAGCATTTGTCCCTCATGCTTATCGAGGTGGCCACAAGCAACTGTCATTGACTGTATCAGGGAACGTGCTGAGGCTACATTACAAGCTAACCAAATAACCCCGTGGGACCCCTTGACTAGCCCCCTTACCCTGGCCTGACTACTTTGCCCAAGATTTTTCTGGATGTGGCAAGCGGTGCCAGAGAATCCATAAGACCTTTTTCACAGCATTAAACAAACTTCCAAAAAGAAAAATTATACTAGGCAAATGTGTGAAAATTAATAATTCAACCCTGAGGAGCAAATGCTACTACTTTGAATACCTCCTAGACTTGACGTTTTGGTATCTGTAGTTCATTCCTTACAGAAACAACTAAATTCCATTCCGAGTCAGGATACTTTATCGTCTACAGTGAAAGAAAGGGCTGTGAAGATTTCGGTGTCACCCCCTTAGACAATACAGACAGCGCTTTCTGTGTGTGGATGGCAGAGGAGATCCAGAATGGCTGAAGAGGAGCTTGGTCCAGTTTGCGTCAGAAAGCACTGTGATTTCAGTCTCTCAGAAGCAAAGAGTCTCCAATCAACCGCCTGCCCCACTGGACCCCTTACCTCCTGAAGTGCTTTCGTTGCCCACTGGAGTACTGGAGCAGCTGCGGTCCATGTTGGAGGACTCAGAGGAAATGCCGCCGGGGCTGCATCCCGTGTAGTCGACGTACTCGTCCGTCTCCGTATCCATCAAGCTTTGGGGTCCCTGAAAGGAAGCAGGAGTCCCTGACGATGCTGGGCTAGGTGCCATGCTACTGACTTGAGGGAGGTTTTCATTCCTTGGAGTGTGTCCAATAACCTGAAGCAAGAAAATCAATATAGGGGATTGGGGTGCAGTGGGAATGACTCCTGCACCACAGTGGGGATGCCAGTGTCCAAGTGGACATCTGTTTGCACAGGCTGCACTTTGCCCAGATTTACTCCCAAGGGATGCCTGGGCTATGTTGGCGAAGGCACCAGGGCTGGCATTGTGAAAACCACCTGGCTTTGGACTCTGTGAGTGTTAATCTTGGCAATGGGAATCCCGCTGTGTCAATACTGATGCCGTCAGAGCCTGGGAGTGTTAATCTTGGCATCAACATTAGGCTATGTTGAGCTTGCTGAATTTAGCACCAGACAGTTTGAATGCTGGCACTGGCTCTTTGGTGTGTGGATTAAGATGCTCGCCCGTTTGTGTTTGTGTGTTCTATTGACTCTGCTGCCCCCGGTTGGGGCCTGCTTATGTCCTATTATCTGGGGTATGGGAAGAGATGAAGGACCCCGGTGATTTGAATTCCATTTTACAACCAACCAAATCAGGACTATATGCATATATACCAGGGGTGGCCAAACTGCCGCTCGGGAGCCGCATGCAGCTCTTTTACACAGGCTAGTTTAATGTTAATAAAAGGCAAATTAGCATATTTTTCAATAAAGACATGTGTGTAATGTTTGTTCATGTCTTGCAGCTTTCAACATCTGACGTTTATTCTGTGTGGCTGTTACGTTAAGCAAGTTTGGCCACCCCTGATATATACTGACACAGTGTGGGGCTGAAATGCATTAAATCTTTTTTTAGCCTAAGAGGAGTGCTTTTGGAATGGCTCCCATATAGTGTGAGGGCCGAGATCTTATAAGAGTGGATCTTATAAGAGTGACCTGCAAAGGAAGAGCTGACGGGAATTTTGCATCTCGCTTGTGATTCTCTTCCTGGAACATTCACATCGATCTTAAGTTCTGATGCAACATTTTCCATGCGGGGCTGCCATATGGGAATGTGGACGGCTCAGCCTGCCCATCCGCCCACATCCTTTTAAAGTGCATCAGCTGTCGTGATACAGACCCCACTGTACCACGAGGACTCAAACGGACATGTCAGGTTGCAGACCTGCTGCCCTCCCACCCACCACCCACCCCCGGCCGGGGTCACTCACCTGAGTGGGAACACGGTCAAAGTTCTTGCCCAGCATCCTCCTCATGTGTTTCCTCGCATGGGATGTCATCTGGTGCTTCAATAGGAAGGAGAACTGGCAGCCTTCACGGATGCAGTGAAAATGGCTGTTAACTTGATTGTACTTGCAACCTGGAAAGGGGAGAATGCAAAGCAGTTTACCACCTTCTGGAGCAGCTGGGATTGCTTGCAACAAATGAACTCCAGGCACTTATTTCTGCAAGGCTGAACAATTCGGGAATGACCATTAGGTCTTCCACATCCTCAAACCACGTGAGAGGGGAAGGCAGGAAGGGTTCCAGCTTGCAAGGGACAGAAAACACTACAGCCAGAGAACTTAAGAAAACTTTGTGAACTCTGCCTACATTTTTTTAAAATTAGAGAACCAGTGCAAAACCAACAAGAATGGAGAAGGGTTTTGGGGGCTGCTCGTATAGCCTCCAAACAGACAGGAAGCCCCACTTGCCACAGGGAAGATCTGGCTGGAAGGAAGCTCTGCTATAACCACATCTTACTATGAGGCAGAACAGCGGAGAACACTGAAGCTGGTCAACTTAAGCAAACAGTGCATAGCTGCTGGGTGTGACAAGATCGTGTCACTTTTTGGATGTGGGTTCAGTGCACTGTTTGGCCATGGCCCTGGGATAGCAGCTCTTAGCCTCTGCTTGCCATCTGGGCAACTGTCATAAGTGCTGGCCCGCCACACAGGGATGTGGTGTGATGATCAGCAGAGGCGCCAAGAGTGGCATGAGCTTTTCTATACAGCTGCTGCTGGAGGAAGTTTGGACAGCGAGCTGACATTCCCATTTCTTTTTGGACCATCCCCATTGCGTGGGTGACTTGATTTGTCCCTGGAACAAACCTCTCTCCTCGTAGTTGCTGAGGATCTCCCTCCATCTGTAGCAATATGGGAGGGCAAAGGGGGAGAGAGGAATTTACTTTCTTTTGGGGGGGGGAGTTGGTATAGCGAGGTAGTTAATTAAAAAGATCTGTTAAACCAGGAAGTCCCCAGCAGAAAAGAGCAAGAGTCCCGTAGCACCTTAAAGACTAACAAAATTTGTGGCACAGTCTGAGCTCTTGTGAGTGAGCAGTGACTTCCTAAAGCTACTACCCTGCCACATATTTTGTTAATCTTGAAGGTGCTCCTGGACTCTTGCACTTTTCTACTGCTACAGACAGACAACCATGGCTACCCATCTTGATCTGTCTCCAGGAACTCCCCCGTTTCACTCCATCCGCAAACCCACAAGGTGGACCTAGAGAAGGCCCTGTGTTTCTGCTTCAGCCCTTCCCCACAATCGGCAGTATGGCCTGCCTCATCAGAGGTTCTCATGATTAGCAAGAGGATGTCTGGCATGCACGGTGAACACTTGAAATACACGCAGCCTGACTGTTCTTGTGGGTCCTTCTCCTCTGGGATTTTGGGGGAGGCCACACACTGAACACAACATTTTTTTTTTGCATTGCTCACTTTGTCCAGAAGTTCAGCTTGCCTTGGAAATGTACTTGGCCCAGACTCTTTGGTTGGAGGCGTGGAACTGTGTTTTTTCCTACCCCGGTTCCCCACGCAACAGAAGCATGATGTGGGGATGGGTAACATAAAGATCGTGAATCAACTTGTGCATTGTAATATGAATGGTCAATGCCGCTGAACAAAATCATGCACACAAATTCATGAGCATTGTGAGCTTGTTTTTCAACATGCCCAAGGATGTCCCCCCCACCCACAAGAAAACAATGACCCGTCCTTGTCAAAACCAGCTTGTGAATAGAACAAACTGTTCCCCCCCCCTTTCCCTTAAGGACAAAAACGCAGTTTTATTTCCTCTGCCAAGTTATTATTTGTTGAGATATTGTTCTGCCCCCACCAGAAGAAAACCTTCCTCCCCCACAGCCCCACCTCATCTGCCCTCCCCGTCCCGCTGCCGTTCTGTTCATCTTTCGGGAAGGAGAACAAACAGTGCTGCTGGCGGGACTGAAACTCTATCGGCAAAAGGCAGGTGAAGGCTTGCCCCGTTGCCCAGGCAGCCGAGTGTCATGTCTCGCAGGCTGCCTTTGTCTGGCCCCAGCGATCCCCGAAACACCACCGGTTGAGCAAACAACAGCAACGTCCCAGCCTCTTGACGGCCATAAGCCAAGAGCCAGGTAAGGGGCGGTCTTGTGGTGTTTCCCGTTGCCCAGGTTACCTCTGGCGGCCGGCTGCCACTCCGACATGAATTCTTTATGAAGTAAAAACTGAAGAGTTCTTCTCTCACCTCCCCACGCTCTTTCAAATCTTGGGTCGTTCTGTGTGTGAGCATGCCTTGTGTTTTTGTGCGTGTTTGCTATTTTTATCCTCTGTCAATAGAATGGGTTTCATGGTGGGGGGGGGGGAGATGAAACGAGGAACATAAAGAGCACCTAACCTTGTTTGTTCTTAAGGCTCCAGCAAAGACCTGATGCCATGACAACATGGAGTGAAATGTTTCTAAGGGGCAGGAGGGGTTGATCTGATTAATGGCTGAAAACTGGTCCCATTTTGCCCCCCCCCCCAAAAAAAAAACATCAGAGGGGATCCAAACTGACTCCGATGGACAGTCCCCTTTCCTTCTAGTAAATCTTAGTTTGGCTCAGAAATCTTTGCTGCCAGAAAAAATGACTTGAGTGCTTTGTCCAAAACGTGTTTTTTTTAAAGAGAAAAGCATCAATCCACCTTTGGCACCTGTTTGTAACTCGGCCTGCAACTTTGATATTGAAAGTGGTTGGGCTTTCTTGAGTGCCTCTGGTTCCAGGCCTACCAGCATGGAGTCCTTCTTATAGACGCAATAACAGCAGGCGACGGGCTGGCTCTCTGATGTTCTTTGAGGGTCTCCCTTTGCTTCTAGTGGCTAGCCCTCACATTTTCAGTGTCTCCCACACCTGCCCTTTTCTTTTCCTGACTTGTCCCTGCTACGGTGTCCTGACCTTCGTCCATGTTACATCTTCTTCCAGTTACTTGTACACACTGGTGCATAAACTGTCTTTTATCACATTCCCTTCTCTTATAGTTCTGGCTGCTCATCAGATTCCACATCAGGTTCAAGCTTCCAGTCCTCATGGTTACATGTTTCCAACATCTCCACCCCAGTCTTCTTCCTAGCTTTATTCTGCATGAGCACACTGCCACTGTCTACTTGTCCCTGTTTAATAAGCAACTAGCAGTCACACGGGCCCTAGTCCAGATCAAACCCCAATTTTTTAAAGTCCTCTCCCCAACCACCGTCCCTTGAAGCTGCTATTTGTCATGCTACAAGAAATTAAGCAGCTGCCTCTGTTTCCCCCAACAGGGAAAAGAGCAGCTGGGGGGTGGGGTTCTGGTAGCAGAACAGTGTGTGTGTGTGGGGGGGGGAATTTGTTTTCTTACATCCTGCCTCTACACATTGAACCCAACTCAAATTAATGTTCCTGTGCTGGTATTTACCAATAAATAGTGCTTGGCAGGTCCATTCACAGGTCTATTTTATTATTTATTTCACTTATAGCCCACTTTTCTCCACAACGAGGACCTAAAGTTCCTTACAACCTCCTCAGTCTTATTCTCCCAACAATGCTGTGCAGAAAGTTAGGCTGAGAGTGTCTGACTAGCCCAAGGGGTCACCAAGGAAGGCTTCCACGGAAGAGTGAGGATTCGAACCCAGGTCTCCCAGATCCTAGTCCAGCTCTAATCACAACCCCGTGCTGGTGCTTGCAGCATCGGAAGTCAGTTTCTCTTCCTTCCCTATGTTCCAAGTCTGGCTGGATCCTGAATTTTGCAAAACCCACAGCTGGGGGCATGCCGTCTGGGGACCTGTGCAGATTTCCCTTCTGTTGCAATTCCGCAGCTCAGCCAGTGGCTCTCGCTGCTCAGCTGACGGGCCGCATCCGCTCTGAGTGTGCAGAGAGGGGTTAAAAGACTGAGGCACTGTGGGTGGGTTTGCTTTGCTTGCCATTAACGGCTGGAGGCATTTGGGGGTGGGGGTGGGTTACGGTTTCGTAATTGCTTTGGCACTGCCAAACATGTCTGATGAACGGAGCTGCCAGCCACACACCTCTGCTCTTTGCCATCTGTCATGTGCTTTGATGTGCTGATGTTCGGCTGGGCTGTTGGCATTAGAAGAGGCAACGTAGCACTTGCCTCCAGCACAGAAGCGGCAGTGTGTGCCAGGAGAAAGGTGGGGCAACCTAAAGAATGAGAGGATCTCCTCCCTCCAAGTGGGAAATACTGGCTTCTGCCATTCAGGCATGGCACTGCATATCACAGGTTTGCCCCTCAAGGTGCCGGGATCAAGAGGGGACGAAACTACAGGGAGATTTCTGGATTTTTTTTCTCACGCTCAAATATCTTAACAATCAGAGCAGCAGGGAGAAGTTTCCCTGATTCTGCTTGAATCCAGATTGAGGATACGGCATTCCGCCCTGCCCTGTCATGGTGACGGAGCAAGCTTGTACCCATGATTCTTCACGTCTTCCCCATTCTGGCTACTTAGGGGCAGGATCCACCAAGTTAAGTTGGTTAATGGCGCTCTTCCAAGGCAGGTGGTTTGCTTGACCACATAATTTTTTCACAGAGAAGTGAGCTAGATTTCTGACCGGGCTTGAGACTAGAAAGAGAAGTTGCGCTGAAAGAATTCTGGTGTGTCCTTCACACATTGCGCTCGGGGGAGTCTGCCCTGGCACTAGCGCTACCTGTGTACTCGCCACTGTGCGTCTCTGCAAATAACTATGCAACCTGCAGATTTTAGATAGGAAAGGTCTCTGGTGTTCCCTCCTCCTTCCACAGAAACAGGTCTTCCAAAGGCTTTTGGGAACTTCCCATGGCTCAAGGAAGGGACAGAGAGTCACTAACAAACAGATATGAGAAGACAGCCTGCCTCATCAGAGCAACGTCCACACCCATCTGAAGAAACTGGCAAGTCCCTGTGCCACTACTGAGAAGTGACTCTTTTTGGTTGGAGAGGTCGGTTAATGACTGGTCCTGCCCTCAGCCTGGCACACCAAGTTACCCCCGAAAGAAGGGGAGGGAAGGGAAGGGAGGCCTACCTAGCCTGCCGCACTCCTCCCGCTTTGTGAAGTACTTGAAGCCGTTGGCTGCTCTCCGCTCCGCCTTCTCGTGCTTCTTCACGTGCCAGGGCAGCTTGGTGGTGATGTTGGTCACGAAGTAACAGCCGGGACGAAGGCAATGGTAATGGCCCCGCATTCGGAATTCACAGTGCTGGAAGGGGAAGATGGTGACCGATAAGATGGGTCAGGGCAGAGCGACCCACTTCCTCCCGCAGAACTCGTTTACCGTCTCAAGCCAAACACCCTCTGCAGCCACCGGTGAGGTCTAGGGACACGTGAAGCCTTCTGGAAGCCTCCCCGGGAGGCACGCAGACCCAGTCACCGACATCTCCGGCTGACCTCAAGAGGCAGGCCTTGGGAAAGACCTTGCATGCCAGGGGTGGGTGAGGACGGGCTCTGCGTGCCCTGGTCCCGTGGTGCTGTCTCTTCCCACGCCCCTCCGTCCCACTGGTACAGAAATGCCAACACAGCCACAATCTTGCTGCTTCCCCTCCTCATGACCCAGCATCTCTCCTCCTCCCTTCACGGCTGAGTCATCGTGGCTTCTGATAACTGGGGGGGGGGGGGGGGATAAACAAGAGGGGCTAGGGGGGGCGCAGCCGTCTTTT